ACGGTCTGTATGTGGGCGTCGTATTTGTGTATGCTAGTATCTCTGTGTGTGTAGACGACGGCAGCGAGAGCGACGCTGTGGGATTCCGGCGGCCGGGGTAGTGGGCGGAGATGGTGGCGAGACGGTAGCGCCGGTGGTGGCTGACTATGTGTGTGGGTGTGTGTTGTTATGCGTGAGTATTGGGGTGCATGTGTTGTGTGTTGGTGGGGATGAGATTGGCAGGTTATTTAATGTGGGGGATGTGGTCCACCTAAATTAGTGTACAAAATTACCATAATATCCTTATTGAAGGTATAATCTTGATTTTTTATTAGCCATTAGATCATCCGATCTAATGGCTGCAATTTATTCTCATTTCTTTCATTGAGAACCATTCTCATGTGAACCCAACCCTATATATATATATATATATAATTACTAGCTAATATCATCTAATAAAACCTATTTAATTTTATCTATGTGGCAATTTAACCCTTTCCCTCCAAAAATTGTTACTTTTGATGTATTTAATATTTTATTTAATTATTAAATAATCAATACTAATCACTTCAAAATTACAAAAATCATTTTGAACTTTTGATTACTGACAGTTGACCATATTATATATTGACCGTATAATGTGATTAGATGTTATTATTGTGGTTACATTAAATTTATTTTTTTAAAAAAAAATAAAAGACTTATTTGAAAATCCTAAATAAATAATAAATAAATCACAAAAAAATACGTACCCAAATATACATTACATCCAATCAGATAAACGCAAATTAAAAAAGAAAAATAAATATTCCAACTTCTTTAATTGTAAATTTGGCCTGAGAAAAGTGAAAGAAAAATAATTAATCATTATATGCATATAAATAACTCACAATACTTTATTTACATCTGTGCAAATGCACAGGGTCTAATACTAGTAAATAAAGTATCATGAGTTATGTATATGTACATGTAATATTATAATTATAAGTAAGATAATGATATTATATTTTAAACATAGAGTATTGCAAGTTATATTTATGAATACAATATTAAAATTATAAGTTATATATTTCTATTATATTTTACAATTTTATCATTGATTGAAATAAATAGTATATAACAGTTTGATTGCATATGAATCACTATATTGATTGCATAAAATATAATAATTAATGAAATTTTTATAATTTTGATGGATTATGACCAACTAATTAGCTAAAAATATTAAATTTATTATAACGATTGTTAATGCAATTTTAATTAATTTTACTATGACATTAATAGAAAGTTGATTTATTTAAAAACCCTCAAATAATCAAATAAAACATATAATATTTATTTATTTTAATAAATAACTTGAACAAAAAAAAAAATCTACAATATAATTTTTCGTGTTTATCTATTTTTCAAGTATCATTTAGTGTAAAATATAATCATTTATTTTAGTAATAATTATTATATGATACAATAAAAATTATATTTATTATTACTCAATTAATGTTAATATAACTGTCTTAATTTACCTAAAAAGCGTGCAATAAAAGATTTTATCATTAATAGATGTGGATTAATGTAATAAAAATATAAATAATAATAAAAATAATAATAATAATGATAATAACAATAACTATAATAAGAATAATAATAATAATAATAATAATAATAATAATAATAATAATAATAATAATAATAATAATAATAATCTATAAATATATAATTTGGAGCAACAACATTTAATTTTATTATAAGCAGCATTAAATTATATTATTTCGCTTTCCCGCCTAAAGCAGTTACAAAACACCAAATTTAATGTGTATTTTTTTTTTTTTGCTTTTTTTTTTTCTATTCAACTCCACATAATGTAACGGTTTCTTTGACTTTTTCAAAAAATATCTATTTGTAATGGAAATGTGTGACTATCATGCAGAAATTATTATTTTAATTTTTTCTCTTTTTTTTTGTATCTAATCATTTCAATATGTCTGGCAGACTGGCATAAATCATGCAGAATTTCTTTGGCTGACAAGTTTGGTATAAACAATATGCAGAAATCAAGAACATTATTATTTTCCACGTATATTTTTAATCATTTTATGACGTATTCATGTATCATATATTAATATTATATATTTTAGATTCGTAAAAATAACATACAAGAAAATAATTTTAAAATTACAAAATCAAATGAAACACACATAAGAATATCCAGCCAAAT